GACGCTCAGGGAGAGCTCTATAGCCCTATGGAAATATAACCCTCCTGCCCAGAGCAGGCCTTGATGCAGCCCACAGATCACAGAGAGCAGCAGGCCAAAGGCCACGGCGCAAGTTTCCTGGACTGCTTGAAATGTGATGCCCATTTTATCCTCCACTGACAGGAATGTCTTGCAAGTCCCGCATCTCTTCCCAAGAGGAAAAGGAGCTGAATGTTGACTTGGGACTGAAAGAGCAGAGGCCAGACGCCCAGCAAGACTGGGTCTTCTGTATAACACATGAAATCCAGCTGACCCAAGGTCACAGACTGGGAGGCTTGAAACCCAAGGAGCCAAAGAGATGATAAACAACAACAGGTGGAAGGTATCAAGGCAGAAAATAAGACCAAATTCTCAAAATGCTAAAGCCATGCTTCTTGCACTGAGTAATTGTGCCTCTGGGGCTTCTTGGCAGTGGGCCAAAAGGAGGCAATGCCACCGAAAAAAATGGGTGCACCATCTTCTTGCAGTATTAGTGGGATTCAAGACCTATGGTTAATGAAACTGGACAATGATATACTGTGTAGAAGAACATAAAATTTGCTTGACTCTTTCAAAATCATGACTCAGATATTTGTACACCACTGTTCACTGTAGCACTATTCACTATAGCCAAAAAGAAGAAACAACCCAAATGCCCATCAACAGATGAGTAAACATAATGTGGTATAATCATATCATGGAATATTACTAAGCTATTAAGAGAAAGGAGCTCTGGTGGTGTAGTGCCTAAGGCATTTGACTTCTAACCAGAAGGTTGGTGGTTCAAACCCACCAGCCACTCCCTGTAAGGAAGACTGGGCAATCTACTTCCATAGAGATACTGCCTCGGAAACCCAAAGAGGGGTCCCTAAGAGAAATGAAGTTCTGATACACTCTATGACATGGATGAACCTTGAAAACATTACTCATAAAACACTGAATGAAATCAATCAGCTACTAAAGGATAAATATTGTATGATTCCACTTGTATGAAATACCTGGAATAGCCAAATGCATTAAAGATAAAAGTAGATTAGTGGTTACCAGGGGTTAGCAGAGGAGGGTACTGGAGAATCATTTAAAAAAGAAAAAAGGAGGATTGGAAATGGGAAACACAAGGAGGAAGAAGGAAGAGTGCTGTTCCATTGTGAGGATTGTAATGAACGCCCTGAAACAAAACGTGTATGAATCGTTGGATTTTCACTCAAATCACAATAAAAGGTATAAAAAAAGAAAGAAAAAGAAGAATAACCTTGTTATAAAAATGTACCGAACAAATTAAATTATAAAAGAAACCAAAATAAGGATGGGGGAGCTGTAAATATTAAAAATAAGGTGCTTCAGTGTTGAGGGCAAGAAATGATTTCTGACTGAACAGTTCTGGGATGACTTTCTGGAGGAGATAGCCTTTGGGGTGGAAGGAGGCTGAGATAGTTCTACAAAAGGAGGGAACAGCATGAGCAATGGCTTAGTGACTGGATTTAGAAAAAAAAAAAAAAAAAAGAACTTGACAATATCTCTTAAGAAGATTGATTGGATTATTTTTCCTTTAAATTTTATTTATTTTGTTCTTAAGAATATACACAGCAAAACATACACCAATTCAACAGTCTCTACATGTACAATTTAGTGACACTGATTACATTCTTTGAGTTGTGCAACCATTCTCACCCTTCTTTTCTTACTCCCTCATTAACATAATGCACTCACTGCCCCTAAGGTATCTAATCTTGAGTTGCTGTTGTCAATCTGATCTCAAATAGATAGGTCTTAAAAGAGCACAATGCTCAAGGCAGACCTTTTCTACTAGTGAAGCTAAATTATTGTTCAATTTTAAGAAGACTTCAGAAAATATTTTTGGTTCAAGGTTTAAAGATTATCTCAGGGCAACAGTTTCAGGGGTTCATCTAGCCTCCATGCCTCAAAAAAGCCTAGCATCTATGAGAATTTGAAATTCTGTTCTGCATTTTACCCCTTCTGATCAGGATTCTCTATGGAATCTCTCATCAAAATGTTCAGTAATTGTAGCTGGGAACCATCCAGTTCTTCTCATCTCATGCCAAAAGGGACAGTTGTTCATGGAGGTGATTAGCCACCTCCTCCTATCCCCTACTCTCCTTCTTCCTCTGTTGCTCTAGGTGAATACAGACCAACTGTTGTGTCTTGGATGGCTGTGTGCAAGCCTTTAAGACCCCAGGTACTACGCAAAGAACTAGGAGCCAGAAGCACTACACACGTCATTGTTGTAAATACATCTATCATATAACTTTTGCCCATTCAACTTTTTACAGGTGTACAACTTACTGACGGCAATTAAAATAATCGGCTGTGCCACCCTACCCTTAATCAATTGATTTTACAATCACTGAAAAACTCCCCTTTTCTCCTCGCTCCCACCCCTGGTTTCTGCACATTTGCCTTTTGTTGTCTTCTTATGTAAGTGAGGTCATACAATATTTTTTTTTTTTTGTGATTAACTTATTTAGCTCTACACAATGTCTTCAAGCTCCAGCCATACCATAGCATGTACCAAGACTTCATTTCTCTTACTGGCTGAGTAGCATTCTTTGGTATGTATGTACCATATTTTTTTATCCATTAATCTATTGATGGGCATTGAGGCTGTTTCTACCTTTTGGTTATTGTGAATCATGTTTCAGTGAACATTGGTATCATTGGTGTACAAGTCTCTTTTTGAGTCTTTGCTTTCAAGTCCTTTGGGTATATACCTAGAAGTAGAATTGCTAAGGAGCTCTGGGCGTGCAGTGCCTAAGGCATTTGACCGTTAACCAGAAGGTTGGCAGTTCGAACCCACCAACTACTCCACAGAAAGAAGACTGGGCAATCTACTTCTGTAAAGATTTACTGCTTCAGACCCAATGGGGGACACTATGAGTCAGAATTGACTCGATGGCAGTGGGTTTTTTTTTTTATGGCAGTTTTATTTTTTGAGGAACTGCACCCTGTTTTCCACACAGCTGTACCATTCCCACCAGCAATGGATAAGGGTACAATTGAACTTTAAGGATAAAACACTAGATACCAAAGAAATTTCATGACTAAGCCCCAGGCAGGTAGGGTATTTGACTCCTCTGCATTAAGAGCAACTTGGAGACATGTAGAAGCCCAGCTCTAAGGGATTCTTCATTCTATTAATTTCATTTACTCCACAAAAAAGTTTTTGAGCTCTTACTATGTCCCAGGCACCCTTTACTCCCTGGAACTGACTAGTCAGGGAGGCAGTATTAACTAAAAGTATATGCAGCCATGGGAGAGACATTATTTGCTCAGGGCAATGGGGAAGGCTTTGGGGTGGGGGGGATGCAGGGTCTGAGTAATGTTTAATCAGGGCAAGGTGGGTAGGAGTAGGGAGCTGGAAACTCTCCAGGTAGAGGGAATACCAAACCAAAAACCAAACACACTTCCGTGGAGTCGGATCTGACTCATAGCAACTCCTCCTTGGGTTTCCGAGGCGGTATCTCAATGGAAATAGATTGCCCAATCTTCCTTCCGAGGAGTGGCTGGTGGCTTTGAACCTCAAGCCTTCTGGTTAGCAGTCAAATGCCTTAGGGGATTATGTGTAAAATTCTGAAACAGGAGGGGTCTTGGCTGTGTGGCTGGAACCCAGGAAGTAAAGAAGAGAGAGTTATCAAGCTGGGCAGGCAAACATGGAGAGCACAGAAGTAGGTTCGGTTTTTATCCCAAGGTCATTGGTACAGGGGGATTTTTAAAAATATTTTACTTTTAGTTGTTGTTGAAAATATACACAGCAGAACATATACCAATTCAACAGTTCCTACATGTACAATTCAGTGCCACTGATTATATTCTTCAAGTTGTGTAACCATTCTTACCCTCCTTTTCTAAATTGTTCCTCCCCTATTAACATAAACTCACTATCCCTTAAGTTTTCTATCTAATCTTTTGAGTTGTGGTTGTCAATTCAACACCATTTCTGAAAAGAACACAATGCTCAAGGCAGACATTCTTTCTTAGGTAAGCTAAACTATTTGGTTTTAAGAAGACTACAGGGGATATTTTTGGTTTAAAAAGTAGTTTAAACCAATAGTTTCAGGGGTTCATCAAACTCCCATGGCTCCAGAACTGCTGGATTCCATGAGAATGTGAAATTCTGTTTTGCATTTTCCCCCTTTTGATCAGGACTCTTCTATAGAATCTTAAATCAAAATGGTCAGTCATGGTAGGTGGGCACCATCCAGTTCTTCTGATTTCATGGCAAAGGAGGCAGTCATTCATGGAGGCAGTTAGCCACACATTCAATTTCATTGTACTATTTCTGACTCTGTCACTCCAGGTGAATAGAGACCAACTGTCCACAGGGGAACTTTAAGCAGCAGAGTAGCATGACAGATTACTCAAGCAGCAGAATATTAATATATTAATTCCTACCAAGTAGACAGATGGTCAAAATGATGCTGTGTTTTTTGTGAGGCTTCTCTGGGAGATGCAAACACCAAGAGGGCTGTGCCCAGGCCTACTCCTGCTTGGGTCCAAATCAAGTAGTCCCATTTGTAAATACCTTCAGAAAAGTGACTGCTAGGTTCCCCTCTCAGGACATGCAGAGCCCTTGCACCAGAAAACAGGTACTTCCTGGAATTAAGACAGGAATCTGGCATCATACAGTCCTAGGTACAAATCCTGTCTCTGCCACATGCTTGCTGGGTGACTCTAAACAAGTTTCTTAACCTCTCTGTGCCTTGGTAAAATGAGGATACTAAGAACACCTGTCTCCTAAGGTCACCATGTGGATTAATTAGGACCCAGTTGCTAAAATCCTTAGCACTTAACCTGCTGCCACTGCAGATGCTAATAAAAAAAATTATAGTATTAGTATAGTTTACACTCAGCTAAGAATGAACACAGAAGACATGCAAAGACAAGTGAAATGTAAAATGATTTGGAGAACATGATGTGCTGAAGGAGAGGAGCCAGCATAGACAAATGACTGGGTTTCCACTTACTTGCGAGCAGGAGGCAGGAGACCGCCACAGTGTACAGGTGCTTGGAGGTGGAGATGTTATAACGATCCATGAAGTGGTCCAGTAGGTAGACAGCCAGGTGCCGGGCTGTGGGGCACAGCTGACAGTGGCTGCTCAGCAGGGTCAAGATGTCGACAAAGAACCGACGGCTCTTCAGGAGCGGAGAGTGGGCTCGGAAGGCGGGCAGCTTCAGTTCCTGGAGGACAGGTGGGGTAGATAGGAGGTCAGGGCTGCCTTCTGAGTGCACTGGATGAACCAGGAGAGGGAAACATCAGAGCCTGCCTGCTGACTGCTTAGTAGGCAACAACCTGCTCCAGACCCCTGTTGTTTTTCTTTCAGGTCCTAGGATGGCAGCCCCACTAGTGATTCCAGAAACTCCTGGACTGTCTCCCAACCACCCTCACCAAGCATAGGCTCATAAAGTGATCAGGAACTGCTGCGGTTGAATTGAGTCCTCCCAAAAGATATGCTGACGTCTAACCTTTGGTACCTGTGAATGCAATTTTATTTGGAAATAAAATCTTTGCAGATGTAATTTGTTGAGTTCATACTGGATTATGGAGCGGGCCCTAATCCAATGACTGGTGTCCTTATAAAAAGAGGAGAAGACACACAGAGACCCAGACAAAGAGAGGAGAATACCATGTGAAGATGGAGGCAGAGATGACAGTGATGCATCCATAAGCCAGACAAGAAATGCTGGCAACACCAGAAGCCAAGAGAGTGGCATGGAAGGGATCCTTTCCTAGAGCCTTCAGAGAGGGCATTGTTTTGCCATCACCTTGATTTCAAACTTCTAGCCTCTAAAACTGTGAGAGACTGAATTTCTGTTGTTTTAAGCCACTTAGTTTCTGATATTTTGTTAAGGCAGCTCTAGGAGAACACAGGAATCTACGCGATCATAGATAAGAGAATGGACTCTGAAGAAGCCAGTTATTCACAGCTGAAAAGCTTGCTATTTGAGATACTATGGTCATGACCAGTTGCCTTCACGCTGACTCTGACTCCTAGCAACCCCACGTGCATCAGAGTAGAACTGTGCTCCACGGGGTTTTCAATGGCTGATTTTTGATTACCAAGCCTTTCTTCTGAGGCATCTCTTGGTGAACACAAACACAAATCATGCAGCACGTTAACCATTTGCACCACCCAGTAGCAGCTGTTCAAATGAAAACTGTATGCAAAGTACCAAGTACACAGTAACCTCTCACGATCCACTGCTTCATTCCCTCTGTGAGTGGAGACTGTTACGGGAGAGTGTTATGAAAAAATTCAATCTAAAAAAAAGGTTGAAATAACAGCACAAGAAACTTCAAATACCCTTTGTCTAGATTCACCAATTGTTGACTTTGGCCTTCTCTCTCTCTCTCTACACACACACACACACACACACACACACACAGAGCTTTCCATGATACTTCCCCCACAAGATTTTCACTTAGTAATATATACATTAACATATTATCTGAATTTATTTGACCAGCATAAGAAAAACCAACAACAAGAACCAAAGGAACAAATATTTTTATGATGGAACAGGTTTTCTTAAATATCTACTGCATTTACAATTTAACCAAAGCAGATGAGACAATGTTTGTTAAGGAAATGTCTTAGTCACATTTTGCCAAATAGGAAACTAAAGAGAAGCAAACCTGAGGAAAAAACAGGAAGGGAGAAGTTGGCAGAGAAGGAATTTGTGAGAACTCACTAATCTGGGAGATTCCTTGGGGAATGAGATTAAAACAAATTGGAGCCCTCTCTTCTGTATAATAAGGAAGTCTGGTGGCGCAGTGTCTGACGCTTCTAACTGCTAACTAGCAGGTTGGTGGTTCAAAGCCACCAGCCACTCCATGGAAGGAAGACTAAGCAATCTACTTCCGTAAAGATTTACCATCTTGGAAATCCAATGGGGGGGTCACTATGAGTTGGAATCAACTCGATGCCAGTGGGTGTTTTTTTTTGGTTTTCCCCTGTATAATGCCTTTTTTTTTTTTTAACCCTAGGGCTTTATTTAACTAGCAACAATTTGAGGACTAGAAGGAGACATCGTTTTTTTTCATTCATTCACTCACTCATTCAAGAGATATTAATTAATTCACTTCCCTCAATAAGTATAAAGTACCTTCTATGCGCTAGGCATTATTTTAGGGACTGGGGGATACACCTTGAACAGACACAGATCTAAATGTAAGAGTTACAGCTCTAAAACGCTTAGAAAACAGGAACAAATCGTCATGGCCTTGCATTAAGAAATGGTTTCTTAGACGTGACTCCAAAAACAGAAATAACAAAAAGAAAAATAAGCTAACTTCGAAATTAAAAACTTTTGTGCTTCAAAGGAGACCATCAAGAAAGTGAAGAAAAGCCACATAGGAATAAGAGAAAATATTTGGGAGTCAAATGTGTAAGACTTGTATTGGAATATATTAAAAAATCTTATAACTCAAAACTAAACAACCCAATTAAAAAACGGGCAAAGGATTGAATAGACATTTCCTCAAAGAAGATACACAAATGGCCAAAATAAGCACATGTACAGCTACTCAACAGCATTTGTCATTAGGAAAATGAAAATCAAAACCATGATGAAATGTCACTGTATACCCACTAAGATGGCTATAAATAAAAACAAAAACAAAATCCCAGACATTAGTAAGTGCTAGTGAGGATGTGGAGAAATTGAGACCTTCATAAATTGTTCATGGGAATTTAAAATAGTGCAGCCACTTTGGAAAACTGAAAAACAGCTTACCACATGATCTAGTGGGAAGCTCTGGGGGTGTAGTCCCTAAGGCATTTGACTGCTAATGAGAAGGCTGGCAGTTCAAACCCACCAGCTACTCCACGGAAGGAAGATAGGGCAATCTACTCCCTTAAAGATTTGCCGCCTTGGAAACTCAGTGGGAGTCACTATGAGTTGGAATTGACTAAATGGCAGTGAGTTTGGTATGGTTTTTTGGTTATGTTTATATATGAAGATACTGAGTTTGAACCATTATCTAAACCCTGAGACCTTATTAACCAGCAACAGATCTGGGACTAGAAGCCTTTTAAAGTATTCCCTTTCTACCTTTTATTTTATTTTGTAATCATGGAGATCTTTTATTTTCAGTTTAAATTCTTTAAGGAAAGATCTAATTTCTACTAATATTTTTCATTTCGTTACTTGATGAATTTATGTGGCCAACACAGGACTTTAAACTCCTTGAGGGCATGGTCTGGGTCTGCTTTTGCTCATCACTGTACCCCTGTGAGACTAGAACTTGGTTAGGCGCTCAATAACTAATTGCTGATAGGACAGAGAAAAGGGTTTAGGAAAGAAGGAATGAATTGCAGATGTGGATACAGAATGCCCTGGGCCTACAGAGGAAGAAGTGACCAACTTTATAGGATAGCAGGCCAGTGGGAGCTTCAAAGAGCAGAAATGGAGCTCAGTTTTGAAAGGATGTCTAAGAATTTACCTGTTGAAGTACAGGAAGGAAAGGATGCTTAGCAACACATGCAAATGCACATACATATCCCAACTAGAGAACCTGGAGCACTTGGAACAGCTAGACATGGAGGGCATGCCTAGATAAAGCAAGCTGGAAAGGCAGGCAGTGTCTCACCTTATGTCCTGCTAAGGTATCTGGCCTGTCTGAGGACTATGGGAGCCACTGAAGATTCTAGAGCAGGTCATCGACCTGGTCAGAGAGGCCATGTGTGAAGCTCTCTAGGCCAGCCCCTCCTGGTCCATGACCAAATGGTCAGTAGCAACAGCAAATGTGGCACTCCAACTCCTCCAGCAGTGCTCCCTCCTTCCAGCAGCTCCCACAAGACTGCAGGCTGTGTATTTCTTGTAAGTACAGGGCTGCAAATTCAGTTCTTGACAAGAAGCCAACCACAATGACAAATCTTGGGTGTCCTGCAGCTAACAGCTGCTCAGAATTAGCCAAGGGACCCTTCCTTAGGCTGCATTACCCTCATCAATGAAGTTCAAAAATCTAAACACAAGAAGTCAGATATGCACGGTTCTGACTCCCCTCCTCACCCCAAGTCAGCCAACTCAGCACCTTCTAGATTGTCCCTTGTGCCAAGGAAAAGCACCATGCTGATTGTCTGTCCTCTGTACACTCCTGGGAAGAGGTCCACAGCTCCAAAAAGATTCTCAAAGGAAGCCATGGTACATAAACATTAAAGGCTGTGGACTGGGCAGCAATACATGTAAAGAAGCAAGCTTCTTGGAAAAGGATAATGTCAAAGATAGGCAGCATTTGTGAAAGCTTCTTGGGATACTCTTCATCTCCATCTCTGCTAATCCCTCAGTTATTTATTTAAATTCCCATACTAAGAGTGAAAGTCCTTGGATGGTGCAAATGGTTAACACCCTTGGCTGCTAACCGAAAGGCTGGTGGTTTGAGTCCACTTACAGGTCTGGAGCTCTGGTGCCATAGTGCCTAAGGCATGTGACTGCTAACCAGGGGGCTGGCGGTTCAAACCCATCAGCCACTCCTCAGAAGGAAGGATCTACTTCTGTAGTGATACTGCCTCAGAAACCCAAGGCGGGGTCGCTATGAGTCGGATCCAACTCTACAGCAGTGTGTTTGGTTTGTGTAGAGGTCCCGCAGAAGAAATGTCCGGCCATCTACTTCCGAAAAATCAGCCACTGAAAACCCCATGGAGCACAGTTCTACTCTGACACGCATGGGGTCCCCATGGGCCAGAATCTCAACAGCAAGTAGTTTCCTAAAAGTGACCTTCTCTGCACCCCCATCATTGCAAATCATTGCAAATCAGGACACCCTTAATCTCTCTCCTTGCACATGTTCTGCCTAGCCAAATATTTATTAATGTATGTGTCTTTTCCTGTAAACTCTAGGCTCCAGAGAGCAGGGACCATGTCTATTTTACTTACATTGTTGGCTCAGTGCCCAGTATAGTGCCTGGCACAGAGGCAGGTGCTAAAAACATATCCACTGAACAAAAAAAGAACAAATACAAGGATGTCACTCTCTGCCCAACACTCCCCCTGTCTGTGAGGGAGCAGCTTGGCACAGGATGTGAAATCAGGCAGTTCTGGGTTGGAATCCCATCTCCACTATTAACTCAACCTTGGGCACGTGAATTCTGAACCTCAGTGTTCATCTGAAAAACAGGGCCACGCTGCATAAATGTGCAGTATCTGGTAATGTAAAGCATTTAACAGCAGCTCCACAA